AAAAAATCAATAACTTCTAAATTCTAGGTAGGTTACTTCTAATGAGTTACTTTGTGGTCAGAGGTTGTCACTTCACCAACCTACGTTTTCCTATTTATAAAATACTGTCTGCTAAAATCTTTTTTTTAAACTGGAATCCATTTTTAAAACATTATGTAGAAGGTTAGAATACCATTTGTTCAACCATGTTAGTCAAATTGGATTGAAAAACTGAAATAATATTTTACCTTAGTGATTCTACTTCCTATGTTTTAGCAGTACAGGTGAACGTGGTACTATGTATGTGTGTGCATAGCTTATAATGACAATAAATTAATCATTAATTCGTCATCATTGAGCTAAGCATGTTGGAATTGTTAGTTTATTTCGATCTGCATATCTTCAATCTTAGAGTAAATGAATTTAAATTACTATATTTTGAAAAGTTATTTTTATATAATACACTTTTAATACATTATAATAAAGTTGGATTATGTTTTAGAGTAAAGCTAAAGAAAAATTTTGTTGATAAACAAGTTACATAACCTTTCTGAGCGTAGGTTTACTTATCTGAAAAATCAAGTTGTAATAATAGTATCTCTTTTTGTGGACTGTGGAAAAATAAAATAAATTAATATATGGAAAGAGCTTGGAATAGTGTCTGGTACAAACTACATTCTGTACATATTTACCCATATTACTTGTTAAGCTAATGTATTGTGGTTAAAATTTCATTGATTTCAAAAAATCTTGAATACTCTGATTTTCCAATATAATTTACACCTTTTTTTTTAAACAAAAGAACTTGATATAGTGGAAAGAGTGGGCTAACTTTGAGTGAGGTGGACACTAACTAGCTGCAAAGCCTTGGCAAGCTGGATAACCTCTATCCTCTTTATTAAAGTAGATGCAGGCTTATAGCAGGGTCCCTAACCGATAGCCTTGACTCTGTGTCTTCAGGCTTCCCTTTTCTTTGACAGGGAAGTCATACAACTCAAGTTGGTAATATAGTAACAAATTATTTTCTTATTTTTTTAAAGCAGACAACTCACAAATTCTCTTTTCGGCCATGGATATTTAATTATCCTTCTGTTTGTGCTTCAGGTAAAATCAATCAGTGGAATTACTGAAATCATTTCTCACTTCCTAAAGACAGCAGGGTCATGTCTACTTTAAGAAAGATTGACAGGGAGAATTTAGAATTTTGTAATATCTTTATTTTGCTAGTTGTTCTATTTTCATTTCCAATTTCTGTTTTGACTTGCTTTCATTTTAGAGATAGCATATACCAATGGTGCAAAACATAATCAA